CAGGCGCTGCACCAGCTTTTTCTTGATGGCATTCTGTGCAGCCGCATTGGTCGCCATGCGCAGACCCTCCGCGGCCTCCCGCAGCCGCTGCTGCTGCTCCTCACTGTCAGGGTGGGCTGCTGCTCCCTAAGAGAAGTGCAGAGGTAGATGGGCACCACCCAGCACCACTCTGCTGACCCCTCCAGACTCAAGACGTATTTTCCTACAGTCACTTCTAACTATACCACTGAAAGGTAATCTCAGTTGAGATGAGCTGCCTCAGGCAGGCAAATGGGAAGCCTCAGGGAGGCCCTGGATTCCCTTTGGGATGCTGAAATCCCTTCTGTGGGTGAACTGCTTTTCTCCTTTGGTGGGGGCATATTTCTTCTCCCAGTGCTCACAAAATACCACTAGCAAATGGGGGTTAGCCAGGCTCCCTGGGAGGAGGATGCAGTTTAGAGCAGGGATCCCAGGAATACCAAAGCAGGAAACTGGATTTCTCCTATAAACCAAGAGCCCAGTGGGCCTAGGAATCTTTTGGCTTCTTCCTGATGGTCTTTTGCACCCTTGTGTCCTGCTACCTTGGCCTTCTCTCTACCACTAGCAGCAGAGCCCCTTGGGACTGAATGCTCACATGCATTCACAGCATGGACCAGGAAGCAGGCAGGTAGTAGGAGCAAAGCAGGGAAAGAAGTAACAGCAGGCCTTTGACTGAAAGGAAGGAAAAGGGTATGCTGGGTCACACTGGCTGGCAGCCGAGGCTTCCAGCCTGCTGTGCGCATGGGTGCATTTACTTTCTGACGGTTCCTGTATTTGTTCTCTTGCATCTTCTGCTTTTTCTGGGTCTCTCTTGTCTAAGAAGGGTGACTATCTGGACCTTTCTCCTTCCTTTTGGGGCCCAATCTGGGGATCTGCACATCAGGCTCCATACCTTGGCAGCCTCCACCATCTTGGCTGTGGCATCAGCTAGGATCTTGGCGGCACTTAACAGCTTGCGTGAATTCTCCAGATCACTCTCCCCCTCGGCATCAGCCTTGATGGCATTGACCAGGTCAGAGGTGGCTTGGGCTAGGATGCGAGCCTGTCGCACCATTTCACCTGAGAGGACAGAGCACATCAGGTAGGAAGCCACAGACACTGGGGGAGAGGGGGAGCGGGAGGGGGAAAGGCACGGATAAGGTACATAGGGCTTTTTGGGGACCTTAAAGAGATGCAAGAGTTCTCAAAGTGATTTCCCTAGAGTTATTGTTTTCTGGGTTTAGGATTTAGGAGAGGAACAGATTTTCCAATGGGCTTTGGTGGGAGGGAAGATAGTCTCCAATGGGTATTTTTCAGCAAACAGTCCTGAAAGGATGAGACTCTTTATGAAGGGTTGTGGGAGTGAGGGGTTGAGAGGAGTGGGGAAGGCTAGCTCTTAATAATGTCATTTTCCACCTGTTTTTGTGTATACTTTGGCATATTCTTGAAATGCACCCAGGAAGGCAGAGCAAGGATCATGTTCCTGCTTTATATATGTGAAGCCAAGGTTTCAGAGAGAGTAAACACCTCGTCTACTGTGCCAAGTCTTTAGTGGGAGGTGGTACCTCTGGCAAGGGAATATCCAAGGGAGCTTGGGAAACCTCACAGGGTTCTCTGTCTACCCAGGGTGGTGTCCTTACCAGCATCACCCATAGAGCTGAAGATGTTCTCGGTGACAGTGAGGATGGTGTCAGTGGCCTGGTCATAACGGCCAGCAGGCCCAGCCCCTGTGGCATGGGCCCTCACGTGCTGCAGCAGCTCATTCAGGGCTTGGGTGACAGCGGTGGCTGCTGCTCCTACTCCCCGTAACAGCTGCCCATCCTCTGTGGCTGCCTGGGAGGCAGACACACAACCCTCCACGGCTTTGGCCACCAGTCGTCCGGCCTCCACCAGCTGCTCCTGGCAGACAGGTGAGCTGATTGTAGGGGCCACCACCTGTAGGGAAACTGAGTGTCAGAGACATGGGCATTGTAAAGGAGTTGTAAGGTGGGGTGTTTGTGGTGTTCACAGTAGTTACTGGGATGGGTAATGAGGCCTTGGGAGCCAAAGAGGTAAAATGAGAGGCTCTTGTGTGTGTGTCTCAGCATGGGCTAGTGTAAACTTTTGGGGCTCACCTTGGTACAGGCCACCAGCTGGGAGGTGGACAGGGCACACTGTGTTGCTGCAGCAATAACCTGGGTCTGAAGCCCCGAGTCCTCTGTTCGTTGGGCCACACTCTTGGCCTTAAGGACCAAGGCGGCTGCAGCGCTGGCCACTGCCTTGGCGAGCTGCATTAGCATGTCCTGTGAGGGAAGAGTGGTCAGCATGGCCTGAGGTTGGCCTGGGGATACATGGACCCTTCTCAGAGGCATAAGCTGTTTCATTACTCCCCCTGACTCCAATCACAGCACAGTGTATGCAAGAGCAACCCAGAACCTATCCCAAGCCTCTGCCTTGAGCACCCAGTAGGACAGAACCCCCACCGAGGAACAACCCCCACCGAGAGAAACAGAGCCTGCACCAGAGGGAGAAGTGCTGAGTCGGATACACTCGGCTGGCGATGGGAAGGTGGGGTAGCGCCATTACAATGGGCTGGAGAGAGGCGGTACCTCTTGGGGTCCCCCTCACCAGCTGCTTCTCCATTTCTTCTCAATCTTGGTTGGAAGCCATCACTCTGGAGGCTTGCGATCAAGCCCCTATTCTATCCTCCTGACCCCACCTTCCTAGGCCCTGCCTGTGCCATGCCTCCCCATCTGCCATCGTGTTCTGCTCTCCCTGGAGGCTGGGGGAGAGGTGCAAAAGCGAGTGTATGCGGCTCAGAGAGGACAAAGCTGGGAAGGCCCAGGCCAGAGGCTGTTACCGTGGGGTTATCGGGGCGAGATCGAACCCCAGCCCCTCGGGGTGCACATATCTGCATGGGAAATCCAGGATGACAAGTCAGCAGAGGAAAGTGGCATGGGGTGGGTCAGAGGGAGCTGGAGGGGCAGTGTCGTCAGGGTGGTATAGTTTAAAGGAGTGGAGGGGGCTCAATATGTCTTCAAGCTGGGGTAAGGACTATACAAGGAAGACACAGGAAAAAGACAACAGGCAGCTGAAAATATCATCAGTACGGGCCAAGGAGGAGCTAGGAGGGTAAGTCTGGATTTAGGGGTTCTGAATTCTCACCCCCTAAAAAGGGATTTGAGGTTCTCAGTGTCATACCCTGGGAACAGAGGTTCAGACTGGCTCTGAGGGGTCAATTCATAGTAATAGGACTAGGAGCTGGATTTGGATCAGAAGTTACCTCCTAGAGGTTGGGGTTCTGGGGGTTGGGTAAGTCACTAACCTGGAAATGGGGGTCAGTATCACTTTCCCCGATTTGCTGCAATAGCTCCCCACTGGCCTGGCCCACGTTCCCAGCTGCTTGTAGCAGGTTCTGACGGGGCTGTGGAGAGTGAACACCAGTCAGAAGCTGCCCAACCCCTGCCCACATGCCCATGGGTCCTCCATGCCGATGGGCCCCACGCTTCCTGCAATCTGGAGTGCCCACTTTTCCTTGGGCTTCAATCCGCCTTGTGCCAACCCCACGGGCCCTGACCTCAGCACTGGCCGGCTGGGCACTGCGTAGCAGTTCTGACACTGCGCCTGCAAGGCCCTTGGCCGCCTGCAGCAGAGGCCGGCCACTGCTGCCTTCGTCCTCCAGCAGGGCCGCCAGCAGCTTCACGCCACGGGACATCTCCGTCAGGTTGGAGGAGATGGTGGTGACCGCACAGCCCACTGCAGTATAGTCTGTCTCTGCAGGGTCCCCTGAGAGGAGGAGGGGCAAGAGAAGTGGGTGAGACACACGGCAAGCTAGCCGATGGGCTGGGGAAGACAGTCAACAGGCAGTTAGTCACACATACATCCTGAGAGAGACGTACACACACAGTCCCTTCTGTGAGTCAAGGTACAGTCATACCCAGAGCCCAGTCACACTCATGATTGCACACACTGCCCCCATGGCCCTGTCCCCTCCCACCCCGCCCTCTGCCCCAAAGAGCTTGGCCGCCAGCTTACCTGCTGTCAGGTTCACCACAGATGCAGTACCGGCTGTGATGGCATCTACCTGGGAGTGGATCTCATGCTTTGATTCATCCATCTTGTTCTTACGCCAGGCCTTAGAGGCCTGAGAGAAAGAAAAACAAACCTCAGGATCTGCTCTGGTTTGGCTAACCCAACCCTGTTCCTTGGAGTCCCAGCTGCAGAGCCTTGGCCTATCCTCCAGCCCATACTCACAGCATCCTGGCCCAGAGGGGGCAGAGTGTCAAAGTCATCCAGGGTGGCCTGGGCCGCCTGCACGGCCTGCATGCTGGAGTTGATGGTTCCAGTGAGTGCCTGCTGGGCCGAAGTCTGTAAGACACCAAGAGGAGTAATAGGGAACACTTAGAGGAAGGGGAAGGTAAAAGAGAACCGAAGCTAAGTAAAGGACCGTGCACAGGGACAGAGGAAAAGTCTATGTGACTCCTGGAGGGCCCAGGAGAGTTGGGGGAGAAAGGCCTGGGACCCTGGTGGCAGGGTGGGGATGGGGGAGCAGACACGACACTCTTACCAAAGGAGGCATGTGTCCTCGGTGCATCTGGCCACTGGTAATCTGCTGCTGGGCAGGTGGCATGCTGCCCACCTGGAAATTCTCAGGACCAGAGGCTCCAGAGCGCATGATGGCAGGCAGGGCGACGGAACCATGCTCCACTTTGCCCATCCGGTTATACTGCTGCTGAAGGACTGTTGACCTAGAGGGGATATACTGGGGAGCACTCAGAGGACTTCCTCTCATCCCCTGCCACCCCAAGTCCTCTGAAGTATCACCACAGCCTGTGACGAATTAAAGAACCATCCTCAGGATTCCCCATCCCCAACAGTTCTTGGGGTCAAGCCTGCCTTTCCTGCCTCTGAGGGATGGGATCAGCCCAGCTCCCTTCATACTTTTTGGGGGACACTGAGTCCTCCAGCATGGTAGACTCCTCATCTCCCTCCAGCCCAAAGTGATCCTTGCTTTTTTTCTGTAGGAAGGAAAAAGGAACAAGAGTTAAAGAAGAGGAAAATATGGAAAAGGCAGCCTCTTCTTTCCAACAGTCAGCCATTTTCCAGAACCTGGGACCCCATTTCTAGAGGAATGGCTTGGAGAGAAGGTAAGGGAAGATAAGATGGCTGGGGACAGGCAGTGTTCACCTTCTTAAGGATGATGTCAATGTAGCCAGCAATGAGCTGTGCAATCTGCTCCCCCTCAGTCGTCTGTACCGAGTAGTAGCCATCTTGGTAGTCTCCGAAATCCTAGGGTGACAAGGTGAAGGCTCAGTGAGAAAGCTTGCATCTGCCCAGGATGGCAAAGGGTGGGATGGAAGCCCTGAGGTCAGGCTGTGAAGGCTGCCTTCCCATGCCAACAGCCATCTAGGAAGAAGCCTGCCTTTCTTCAGTCTCCTATTTTTTTTGTTTTCTTCCTTGAAGAGACATATTTTATTTCTGAAGAGTATTTGTGCTACATAGTTTCAAATACATGCCATTTAGGAAATCTCTTTTCTCTCACTCTGATGGCAAGATCAGGAATCCACAAACATTTATCATTCAATGACGGTAATTGAGGGTTAGCACTAGTATCCAAAATGGAAAAATAGCCTTTACGAATCTCTTGCTCTCATTAGAGCACTTCATCAAAGTGGGATCAGTTTTTAATTCATAACAGCAAACTGTAAAGCCAGAGGGGAAAACTATGTCTGTAGTTACTGCTGAAAGAAGGGAGGTTTATATTTCTATCATCTTGTTCTCCCCACTCCCCAGGTGTCCTGGGATTGGTGAAGTATTGTTCCCATATCCCAGAACAGGATTATAGTCCTGTTCTGCTGATTTTAAAAGGTGTTTCATTTAAGCATCACTCACTCTCCAGGAGAGAGTTTCTCCTCTACTCTAACCTCCACATTTCTGCAACTGTTCCAAAGTTCTCCTTTTCTCTGGAGTCACATTCAGTGCACCTATCCCAAGGAAGAGGAAAGACCTTTGCTGCTGCCCCCTCTCTGAAAGTTCCAGAGCTCTTTCTCCTGAGCCCCAGGCTCACCAGGGTGAAGCTCTTGGGAGAAGCAGCCCAGCGTTTGATGTTGGTGAGGTTCCACTCCTGGATCACCTCTTTGGTCTTCTCATCCACTCTCATCACACACTCCTTAGTGATGCCCAGAAGCCTGGGCACCAGCTTGTTCTTCCCTTTCATCTTTTCCTGTGAGGCAGAGGTGGTCACTGGTGTTACAGGTCAGGGGTTGAGTGAGAAATTGATGTCAGATTGATCTAGACCACGGTGGGTGCTGAAGTGGGCAGGAGAGCCAGGATGAGGCTCCTTTAGGGAAAGGGAAAGGGAGGGAAGTGGAGGATGACTAACAACCCAGCAGGTTTTCACAAGTCAGAGTGAGGTAGAGAATGGGACTCCTAGAGAATGGTGGGAAATGTGATGAGGGCAGCAGGGTCGGAGACTTTCAGAGAGAAAAGGGTAATAATGGAAACATTAGGGCAGTGAAAAGGTGTAACCCACCTTAACCAGGAAGAAGGAGACGCCATATGTCTTGAGGGAACGGGCTAGCTTCACGTAGCGTACCTTGGCCTCAATCTCACTCATCTGCCCGCAATTCTTGTGTGCCTTTGAGTATGAAATGGGGAAATATTTAGCAAAATCTGGGAGGACATCACCACAAGACAAGGTGACAGTTGGGATGCTAACTGTAATGGGAGTGTACAATGGGGACATAGGAGGGGTTTTAGGGAGTGCAGGACAGGAGGAATAAGAGGGCAATGAACAGGCTAGGGCTGATGAAGGATATGCAGAAGTGACAATTCAAGGGTCATAGTCAAAGAACCTGCAGACACTTTGGAGACATGAATTAACCATTAGGCAGTGGCAGGTCAAATGGAAGGCCTTGTGGGCTCAGTGTTCAAAGAGCAGGGATAACACCTTACATTTGTGCAGAGATATACTTTTTCAGAGTAATTTCAGCTAAACTATTTCATTTGATTTCCTTATCAATCCTATGTAGGGCAGATGCTGTTATCCCATGTCAGAGGCAAAAAAAAAAAAAAAGAAAACAAGAATATTGCATTCCACAGCAAATGCAGTAATGGAGCTGAGACTAAAAGCCCAGGCCTTCAGCTTTCTTGGCATAGAGGTGGGAGAACAGCTTGGTGGCTGGAAGTGGGATGGGAGGAGACAGGGGTGGTGTGGGGGTTCATTTAGTCAGTAAGATTAAGCAGTGATGCTCCCAGGTCATCCCGAACAGTCTCCCCATCCCCATTCACCTGGAAGATCTTACGCTCTCCCTTCTGCTTCACATACTCCTTGGGCAGGAAGTCCTTCAGGCTATACCAGAAAAGGGAGGGTCAGCATGGAGTGGACAGCATCAGGGATATGTGGGCCAACGGGTAAGGGATATGTCTAGGACAGTGTTATCTCTGGGGAGAAGGAAGACTGAGGGAACAGAGTCTGGACTGTCCCTGAAATTGAGGTGATTCAGCATTAGCTCTTGAATGCAGCCTGTGTCTTTCCCTACAGGGAAAGGGACTGAGGGAACTTGAGCTGGAGGCTCAGTCCCCCAGAGAAAGAGGGCCTAGAGCACTGTTTCAGGGAACCAAGAGCAGAAGGTGCTCACTACGATGACCATGCATGTAGGAAGCAGTATATTCTGAAAAACTCCAGTGGATGAGACTAGTCTAATATTCCCTGTGAGAAAAAATGTACCCTGCTTCCCTCTGGCTACTGCAGTAAAATTCTTCAGAGGGTCTCAGGAAAGTTGCATACATGATTGCTAGCGAGGTAGGGTGCAGGGGCAGAGATTCTGGACTACATTCACATTCCACCTGGGGCTGGTGAGGACAAAAGTGGCCAATAAAAGCTAGAAAGGAACCCATGTGGGTCAAACCCTGATACCTCAGGCGAGGACAAGGGGGAGAAGGCCTGGGATGCAGACAGGCCCTTAGAGTCAAGATGGCAGGAGGCCTGGGCCCTGATAAGTGTATGGGATGTGGGTCACTCACTCAAGGAAGCCGGCCTTGTGCTTCTGCTCATTGTGGGGGCCAAACTGGATCTGGCATTGGAAGCCAGCAAACTCACAGGCCTTGTCAAAGGAGACGGGATGGGAGCCATTCAGGATGTCATCTCGTGCCTGGGGAGCACAGGGCAGGAGGCAAATGTTGTGCATGGGCACAAGGAGTCCCCTCACTGTGCTTCTGCCCCTCCCCGCCTCCCTGCCCCAGGTAAATCTTCTCCATGCCTGCACATAAAGAAGGTTCAGCTGGACGGGGTCCCGGGAGTCCACGTTCTGGTCTGAGTAGAAGAACTTCCTCCGCAGCAGAAGGGTCTCTTGCTCCTCCACTCCCTGTTCCCTCAGTGTGCGGCCATGGTCCAGCCAGTTCACTGGGACAGAGGCTGCCCTCAGTGCCAACCCATGTGGCCCCTGGGCTGTCTGATCTCTGGCTTTTTGTTTACTTCTTCATTCCCTACCTACTCTCATTAATAGGTGAAGTTCCCCAAGTGTACGGCTTTGTCTTATTAGTAATGCACCCCCAGTGTCTAAAATAGTACCTTGCAAAAGCACGTGTCCGCTAAATAATGAATAAACAGCTGTGCCTGCCACCCCAGCCATTTCCAGTGCTTGTTTTTCCATTTCTGCTTACACTCATCATCTGTGTGCAGTTTCTGCTTTAGTTTCTCCATCTTCTTTTCATCTCGCAGCAATGTCTTGTCCTTTCGTAAGGTCCCTGTCACCTCCTCCTTCTTCTCTTCCATGAGCTCTCGGACCAGTGAGTATTCGTCGTGGTTGGTGATGCCTGGCCGAGGGGGTGGGTCAGTAGCACCCCAGGCACTATGTCCATGTCCCTTGGCAGAGTATGAACCCCCTGACCCCCACCCCACCGAGCCTGCAGCCCTGCAGAGAGCCCTTACCTATGCGCGCACAGATGGTCATAAGCATGTCGGTGACAGTCTTAGAGTCATCCACCATGATAGTCTTCACAGTTCCATCCAACATGCGGATCTTCAGGGGTCTCTGTTTCTTCCTGTACTCCATGGTGTCCTGTTGGGGATAGAACAGGAGGCAGGGGCCCATGTTAAGTTGAAGGTATTACTTCCTTTTTACATGGCCAGAGGAGAGAAATGTAGATTACTGAAAGGAAGACAACAGTGGCTTACTCGAAAGCAGGGTATTGTGACTGCCTATAAGAGAAAGTGTGGGGAGGGGTCAGAAACAACAGATGTGGGTGCTGAAAAGAGGAGGTGGAATGGGGTAAGCTGATGGAAGAGAATGTTGATGGTCCTAGATGAAGCAATACTCACCCCATTTCGGAGCATGTAGTAATCCAGAGCTTTCCCAGCCTCCAGCCATATACCCTTTTTGGGGTCATCATCTGACAGAAACAGCCCAAAGTCGCTGGCTAATAAAAGAGAAGATGGGTCACCTCATAATTAGGGAGACCCCGATGTGACTGAATGGCTACACTGTCACCCCTGACTGTTCCCCTAGTGACCTGGGCCTAAAGGGAGAGAGGGAGCCACGGCGCAGAGACCTGAGGAATGATTAGCCTTGGGTGACAATAGGGTCATCCCTCAAGGCCAGTAGCCTGGGAATGAAAAGGGACCAAGGACTCCCACCCCAGCCACCTGGGTAGTCAGACTCACGAGGGCCAGCCAGGGCCTCTGGAATACGCTCACGGATGATGCGACAGGCGTCATACACCATGGTAGATGGCTCGAACTGCATCGTCTTTACCACATTCCCAATGCTGATCTTCAGCGAAAGTGCAACCATGGTGGCAGCTTCTCTCCAGCTTGGCTATACCTGGCCTGCGGCATCAGCGGATTAGAACACACCCTCATTGGTGAGGAGGAGGTCCCCCAGATGGAGTCCCAGGGAGGGATGTTTTTGAAAGGGACTCACCAAAGCAGATGGTAATGAGGTTGCTTTTATTTTATTTAATAATCTTAAAGAGTGAAAGACTATTTACATCAAAAGGACCAGGCCTAACCAAAGACATCTGAAGAAAGGCTGGTCTGCAAGGTACAAAACAGGTCTGAATACACTGCTACCTGTGGACACTGCCCTGTCCCCAGCACTGGAATCCGTGCCTCCCTTTTTTCTTCTGAGTGTCTCTCTCTCGCCCCTTGTCCCTGCTCCTTTCTCAGGCCTTGTTTGCATCTTTTCCTGGTTCGTCTTTTTCTCTCCTCTCCCACTACATTCCTGCTGGCTTTGTCCTGTCTGTGATTTTCAGAGCTCTGCCCTCATCATGTGACCTCCCCTCTCACAGCTTTAGCCTCCTTTTCTGCAAAATGAAGATGTTACAGTAGATAATTCCCAAGGGCTCTTGAAGCCTGCAAACACTGACTCTAGCTACTCTGGCAGGGAGACCAAACACTAGCTATTCAAACTGCCCAGGCCCACTCTTGTCCCAGCTTCCCTCCAGCCTGAGATAGTGGAGGCCTTCCCAAGGAGCTTGTCTCCATATTTGGCTTCCCTGGCAGTCAAGCTAGAATTATGACTTTAATCCAGTGGATCTCAGAAATTATCTAGTCAACTTTTCAACTCTGTAGAAGGGGAATCTGACTCAGGGGTAGGGGGGTAGGGGGAGGAGTTTCTAGACAGGTCAAAGAAAGCCCAGTTCTTCTAACTCAGTCCTTGACTGTTCTAAGTCCCCATGTCACCACCCAGTCGTCACTCCTCTTTGTACTATGCTCTCTCTTCAGTATGAGGAATTCTGCCCTCCATCTCAGCTGAGACCCCTAGCAGTAGTTTCAGTGCAGCTCTGGCTACCAGCCCCACCAGGCCCTCTCCCGTCCTCCTGGCACCACCTTTCAGGGGACTGGCAGAGCCACTGGAGATGGCAGGTGGCACACAGTACACAAGATGGCAAGTCTGCTTGGCAGCTGATGTGACCCAGCTTAGTACAAGGAATTGGTATCTCTTAACCAAGAGAATGAGCAAATCCAGGCCACCCATTCGTCTCCTGTCAAACTACTAGCACCAAGGGGGAAAAGCAGGATTAGGGAGAAAGTTGGAAGCAGAGGTGGGGGTGGTGGGATCCAGAAGGAAGCTGAGAACCACAGAAGCTGGGAAGGGGTATGTTATTGGGGGGTGGAGAGATTAGGAAGGGGGGATTGAAAATCTAGGTAGAAACAGGAGACAGATGGAGGAAAGGTCTGGATCAAGCATTTGGTAGACCATTTCTGACTTCAGAAATAGTCCAACTCCCAAAAGAGAAGGAACTACAGTTTGCTCTCTACTTTTACTCCCAAATAAGAGAGGACCGCACCCCCCCCCCAGTCTCGCCAGTTCTAGCTCTCTGCCCATGTCCCTATTCCTCAGGCACCTCTTCCAGTAGCTAGACAGACCTGGCTGTGGGGTTGCTGGAGGGCTGGAGGGTCAGCGAAGCTGGAGGAGTCAGAGGAGGTGAGGGTAGGACTGCAAGGACCCTCCACCCTAAGCTGAAATTGTATGTCTCCCCCCACTGCCCCCGTTTCCTCCGGACATATGGACACCCCCTTCTTCCTCAAGCACGGAAACCTCTGTTGAGACCCTGATAAGGGAGTTGAGTCATGCCTACCCTTACTCCCAGGCTAGGCTGGTCCTGAGTGGACAGCCACATAGCTCCAAGAGGGTGAGGGAGGAGGAATTGAGGAGTGAACTGGGAGTGATGAGAGCACAGAATGAGGCCCTGGAAGTATGGGGAGAAGCTATCGAGTTCCTGCTTCCCCTTCCATCATGTTTTATGGAACAGCAACAATGCCACCCCACTATGTCCCCCTCCCAGAGAACTCCTCCTCCCTCAAGACATTCCTGAGATGCATTCCAGAGCAGTTGGGCAATCAGTGGTGGGGGTGTGTGTGTGGAGGACAGGTCAAATCCCAGCAAGGAATGGAATGTAAGTGTACTGCAGATGAGGAATTTGGGGTACATGGAGAATATAGTCAGAGCAGATATCCAGAAAGGGAGCTGCAGAAAGACAGTCACAGAAAGGGACAAAGGGAGAGAGAACACTGAAGACAGTTAGAATGTAAGAGGGTTGGGGGAGTGACACTCGGTCTGTTACCAAATTTGGCCTCTGAGTCCGCAACCGCGGGGAGAAGGGAGGGGGGTTGTGGGTGAGATTGACACATCCGGCCTCCACCGCTGGAGGCTCATTTAGGGCTGGACGGGGCAGCTGAAAGCCTAGACCTGACCTTCCCCAACACAGCCCCCAACCTATACTCCTCACCATGCATATTCATTCTCCTCAGATGCACCCAGCCTATGCACAGAGCTCTTCCCTGCAAAGCTACTTACATTGTCTCCAGGGACCTGTTATCTCAAAACACGCAGCACCTACCCAGATCCCATCAGGACATTATCTTCCTGTAAAGACCCCATCCCTTGCACACACTTCCCCACAAACACATGTCTATCAGCAAGCACACAACTTGCCCCAACAACTGTCCTCCCATTATATAGACATTCTCCCTTCATTCATCTAGCAAGCATTTCTGAGGGTCTGTTGTAGGGAAGGCCCTTGGCCAAACACTCAGTGGCTGAGAACCAAGACAAGTGAGCCCTAGCCTTTGCCTTCAAGGGGCTCACAGTCAGCTACATGCACAAGCTAAATAAAGAATTATAACAGAGGGCAGGATGTGGTAACAGCCAAGAGGAGTGTGCTCAGGGAGCGAGCAATCTCTTTAGGTTAGGGAAGGGGGACCAGAATTTTTCCATGAAGTCATTTGAAGTTAGGATTTTAAAAAATAAAGATTAAAAAATAATAATCTTTTATTGACTATATGTCAATTGCTTTGTATACATAATTTCATTTAATCCTTACAACAACCCTGCAAGGTAGGTTTCATTATTTCCATTTTTACAGAGCAGGAGACTAAGGCTCAAAGAAGTTAAACACTTGTTCAGGGTACTCATCCAAAGTCACACAGCTAGAAAGTTGTGAAGCCAGGATCCAAACCCAGGTCTCTCTGACTCCAAGGCCCAAGCTCTCTCCACTATGCCAGCCGGAGATGAGTCAGGGGCAGCATTCCAGGCAGAGAATAGCATAGGCAAAGGCGGAGAAGCAGGAAATCGTGGAGGAGCACTCAGGGAATTGAGCAGGCAGTCTGGCTGAAGCACAAGGAACCTGCAAGGGGGCAGTGATGGGGAAGGCAGGGTTAGGATGGAAAGCCAGGGTAGGACTAGACAGAAATACAAGGCATTTTACCTACTGGAAGCTAGCAGGAGGCCAAGGCAGGCTTTGAGCAGATAGGGCACATAAGCAGACTGGATTTTAGGAAAATAACTCAGGCAGTTACCTTGAAGATTGGTTAGAAAAACAATGGCATTGGCACATGTGAGAGGTAATGAAGCCAGAGTTAGAATGGTGGCAAGGAGAATGTCACTTATTAGCAATTTTAAGAGGTAGAACTGACAGGAGCTGATGACAGCTTGTCTTGTCAACTCCCCTGGCCCAGGGCCCAAAGTCAGGCTGGGGTCCCCTAGCTTCCTGTCATCAGTAGCCACTTGGGGCTGGGGCGGCTTGAGTTTAGGTAAAGAACTAGGAAGCGGGGAAAAGAAAGGATCAGGGCTTGCTGGGAATGTGAAGATGAGACAGTGTTAGGGGATGTGGTTAGGCTGTAGGGAAAGGGGGTGGGGATGTGCTTAGTGCCAGGTAGGGGCAGAAGGGATGAGAGCAGTGACTGTATTGGGCTGGAAATGGGGAAGACAAGGTGAAGAGAAAGGGGAAGATGGTGGTAGGAAAAGTACATATATAATCAGTGGATCAAGCTGGGAGAAGGGGAAAATAATTATGAGGACGGTGGCTAAGTCAGAATAATGCAGTGAGGTCTGGGCTGGGTCAGGCTACAGGAGGCTGAGAAGAAATGGGGCTGTGGCCAGTGGCTAAATTAGGCTGGGCTGGGAGGGAGAGTGAAGGAGCACTGGCAGTGTTTAAAGCTAGAGCTGGGGGTGGAGGAAGGGGGTATAGCCAGTGGCTGGGTCTGGCTGGGTCAGCCTGGGTAGAGGATAGTGCTGAGGTCAGTGGCAGGGTCAGGCTAGGAGTGAAATGGGGGTGTGGTCAATGGCAGGCTGTGGGATCAGCAAGACCAGTTTCCTCTTTGGGTCTCATTTCCTCTTTTCTGTTTGGGGAGTGGGGGAAGGGAATCTAAAACTGGACCAATAATTTAAGGAGGCTTAGAATTAGGGATGGCACCTATCAGGGGCCAGGGTACTTGGCAGTTGTGTTAGGCTGGGTTGGGGTGCAGGAGGATGAGTGGGTGAATTGGTGAGAGGGTGCTTTAAGATGATGGGAAAGCTCAAATTTGGGCAAGGTAAATTAAGGCAGGATGTGCAGATTAAGGAGTGGGCAGGGAGGCAGAACTGTAACTGGGAACGTAAGGTAAGATGAACACCATGGGAAAGTTAAGGCAAGGGCAATAGTCTGTAAGGGGGTGTGCAGGAAGGCTGTGAAATGGAGAGCCAGGGACCAGAGCAGAGAGGAGGGCTTAATATACAGAGAACTGGGAGACAGGGAGAGGAGCTTAACTTTCAGAGGATTCAGCCATCCCTTTATTCCATGTCAACAGTGTTTCCTTGGTTTGCTTCCCCTTTGGTCACCAGTCCCCTCTTCCCTAGGCAGCCCCTCACTTATGACTAGGCCTTCCTTGTACATCTCCTGGATTCCTCCTGTTCTTTTCCCACCCCTATCTTGTAAACAACACAGTCCAGGAATCCCTGCCCAGCAACTGTGGTGGTCATGGGCTTAAGACAGGAGAATAAAGAAGCTGGAATCCTAGATGCCTGAAATTCTAGCTGAAGCCTAGAATCCTAGTCTGAAATTAGTTTGTCATTTTTCTGGAACAAAAAAGCCCCTGCAACTACAGGGAAATAAGAAACCTCCTCACAAAACAAGGGCATCTACCTACTAGCAATTTCAAAAGCGATCTCTGTCCATGATCAATTACCGTGACCTCCACCACAACCTCTACAACTGCTCTAATTCCTAACATTAACTCTGACCCTAATTTGTTTCCTGCTTCCCAGTAATGGCTTTCACATTCATCCCTTTTCTAGGAGATACCAGTATCCAATCCCTGGTCCCTAATATTGATCTAAGTTTTACCTTTAGCACCAAATCGTAACCTTGACCCTAAATGTTGATCCCTAAAATTTAAAGTTCATTTGTCATTTGATTCCTGACCCACCCCTTCACTGTTTACCCCTCATACTGACTATGCCAATATTCGCTAATCCCTAAAACTGGACTTCTAAACCAAATCATGTTGTTGACTCTTAACCCGACCCTGAACTCTCTGACTTATGTTGGGCATCCTAGAAAAAAAATGACTTTAATCCAAACTTTACTTACACAAAACGGATCTCACACTAACAACTCTTAAGTTTTAACTGCCGCTTTATAACTCCTGAAGCTAACCTGGATTCCTAAACCCAACTCCATCTAATCCCCAACTCACCCAAAGCTTTTGTACCCACATACCCGCTATCAGCTAACCTCAAAGCCGATTCCCGCCCTGCGCCTCCCTGCTACTCCCACCCCTTCCCCTCCCCCAAAGTCCCAGTCAGAGGACTGCTCCCAGGAAGGGCCTGGCTCCCGAAAAACGGCCTACTTAGCTCCGAGCCCAAGCCGAGACACGCTGGACGCTGGGTTCTCCAACAGGACCCAAAACGGGGACGCACTAGAGTCGGGGGCCCCACCCGCCAGCCTGCCTCCGAGCCCGGCCTCGCGGCCCCACCCTAAGACTCCTACTAGCCCGATCCGGCCTACCTGCGCTGCCCGGCTGGTGCCCCGCCCGCCGGCCCGCTAATCCGCTCGTTCTCCCGGGCGTCTCTCGGGCTCCGGCCTCGCCCTCCCTTCGACACTCACTCGGCCACTTCCGTCCGGGAACGTCCCCCACCCGCGGGCGGCGCCCTGGGCCGGCGCTCTATGGTTCCAGGAACTGCAGGAAGCTGTTCTGGCCCCAGCTCTCGATGCTCAGGAGCCGGCGGATGACCGGCAGGTCCTCCCCGGCAGGAAGCAAGGGTGCGGCGCAATCCAGAGAAAACGCCGAACTGTGCCTGAGTTCCCTTTAGTTTCTAATCCTTCCTTCTTTTAGTCTGGGGAGAAGGCGGAGACGAATCCCCAGAATGCACGCCCTCAGGGTGTGGAGGCCAAGGGCCGTACCCTTTATTTGCATAGCTCCCGGGACTTAGCGCGGCACTTAGAGCACTTCCGCATTGGTGGGGGAACTCCAAGTCCCGGAATGCCCCGGGGGTATTGCGTTGCTTCCGCTCTGTTGGAAGGTGGGATGCTCGAGTCGGCCAAGCGAGGCTGGTTTGAGAACCGCTGCTATCCGCAAGAGGAAAGTGTCGCCGAACTGGGACTAGCGGACAGGTGGGGCCGCACACCATCAGTGGGGGGCGCGCGTGGTGTTCGGGGTTGAGGACAGGTGTAGGGGTGAACTCCTGTGTTTCTGCCCATTTTGTCTTTAGATGTCCCGTATGGAGCTGGCGTTGGATCCGGGTGACCAGGATCCGCTGGGCTTCCTGGTAGAGGAAAGCGGCAATTTGGGGGCGGAGCACACGGCCTCGGACCTTACTTCGGACTGGGAACAGCCGCTTTCTGAAGTGTGTGGGGGGCGGGGGTGGGTGGAGATGTCCATGAGGGGAGAGGGTGGTGAGAAGTCAAGGCCTGTTACTCCGAACCCTTTGCAGGCCCTGAGCGATTGGGATGTAGAGGATTTCCTGATTTCCCTGCTGAGTCCCCCAGCATCGTTGAACGTTCTCAGCTCCTCTAACCCCTGTATTGTCCACCATGATCACACCTACTCTCTCCCACACGAACATGACTCCATAGATATAGGTGAGTCTAAAATAAGGGATGTTTTGGAGGAAAAATTAATGGGCCTGGCTATTCATACTAGCTCCTTTTGCAGGTAGTGGAAGTTGTGGAGAAGAGAAGACCCAGGTGACTCCACTGCATGTGGAGGAGCTGGCAGAGCAGGTATTTGACTTGATTTATTGAAAGTATTATTCCCAAGTTGCGGGGATCGGGGCAGAATTCCCCATTCTTCTCTGACATTCCCTTGCAACCCTGCTGCCCACTCATTCCCTGCAGCCCCAGGAGATTGATCGGCTTATATTGACAGATGAGGAAAAGAGGCTGTTGGAGAAGGAGGGGCTTACTCTGCCTGAGACTCTTCCTCTCACCAAGGTAAGACTCCCATCCATGAAAGGGAGCCCCAAATAGGCCAATTCTGTTAATTTTTTATCAGTGACTTAAAAACAGAGGTGAGAAATTTTGCAAATTGTTGCTTAGAGGAAGCTGGAGCATGTAGTTAATGTGCTGGATGCAGGGGCTGATCCTGGTTTTGTGGGGTTTGTACAAATTAAAAATGACCAGTGCAACATTATAGTATAGGGACTTGGAAATGACTGTGCAAGTATGACACTTAGATTTCACAGACTTCATGGTAATCCACCTGTAGTTGAATGGTAGAATTAAGTTTGAGTTCATCAAGGCTGGACTAAGTGGCATACCAAGGAAAAATGTAAAATCCTGAGTTTTAAGTTTCAATGAGTGGCAGCTTTACAAGCACAGTATTTGTAGTACTGCGATGAAATCAGTGTTCACTGACAGATTAAGGGAATTTTAATTTCTTAAAAATACAGTATCAGTAGCAGTGTGATACAGGGTTTGGAGGCTGTATCAATGGAAGAGTTGCCTCTACAAGGGCAGCAACTATCTTGCTTTTTTATGCTGGCCAGACACATCTTTGTGTCCAGTTATGAGCCCAGAGCTTTGACAGATATTACAAGGATGCAGTCCATCCTGAGGAGAGGAGATAAGCTGATGAGTTAAAAATTTTGTCCAGATTTTTTTTTAAACTCTGGAGAAATATCAAATATCATAAAATAGCTAAGGATTATTCGTTTTATATGGCTCCAGAGATTAGGTACTAGGTAAGTCCAATGGATGGAAATTATAGTGGCAGATGGTGGCTCAGTATAAGGAAAAAACTTTTTTTTAAATTAATAAATTAATAATTTGTTACAAATGGTCTGGCTCTGAGGATATTAACACCTGGTTCTCAGAGACATTCAGACAGAAGCTGAGGGCCAGTTGGTTAGGGAAGCTGTAGAAGGAATTCCTGCATTGGGAAGAAGATTCAACTCAGCTGTGTTCCAACTCTTTGGTCCACTGTTCCTCTGATGAGTCCCTTTTTCCCCATTTTTTTCTCAGATGGAGGAACAAGTTCTGAAACAAGTGCGGAGGAAGATTAGAAACAAAAAGTCTGCTCAGGAGAGCCGGAGGAAGAAAAGGGTGTATGTGGGAGGTTTAGAGAGCAGGTATGAAAGAGAGAGGGACCAGCGGTAGGGGGATGAAGGTGGTTGGAAGTGATGGGTTTTTGAAGGGAGGATACAGGCCATATTCCCACATCATGTTATTTCCACAGGGTCTTAAAATATACAGCCCAGAATCTGGAGCTACAGAACAAAGTCCAGGTCCTAGAGGAACAGAATCTGTAAGCGCTGCAACATCAGTCCCTTCTCCTCCCTCCTATTTAATGCTGTCTTGCTCTTTCTTCTACTCCACACTTGATTTCTGACTGGGTAGCTGCCACATGGACAGTCTGGTGCTTGGTCTTTAGGGGGTCTCCAATTGCAACTAGTTCACAGTAATGAGGAATAAAGTTGACAAGTAACTAAGGAAAGTTAAGTATCAAGAAAGAGAAAGAAGGGATAAGAAAGATTTTATGGGGCTGATAGCATTTGATAGTATGTAGGATTTTGGGGTGGGTAGGGGAGGGAGTACACAGCATAGTCTAGTCAGCCAGGATCCCTTAGCATAGGTGAGTTGGGTCAGAAGGTAAAGAACATAGAATGCCCGGTGGGGATTATGTGCAGAGCTGACTAGGCAGTGTAGGACCACTGAAGGTATTTGGAAAAGAGGTTAACTCAGGGCAGGGCAGAGTGGTTGTTTGTTTGCTTTAATGAGAAACTTTGGGCATTCTGTTTGAGAGAGGAAGAAGTCCTTTGCAAAAAATAGGATAAAATGCAAGAGAGGATCCAGTGTACAGAGGGAGGTGGCCTTAACAGGAGGGTTTCACAGGATCTCAGGGGCTACTCTCTGTCCCCTCTCCTCCTCTAGGTCTCTTCTAGATCAGCTGAGGAGACTCCAGGCCATGGTGATTCAGATATCAAACAAAACCACCAGCAGCAGCACTTGTGTCTTGGTGAGGATAGTGATGGAAGGAGAGATATCCTTTTCTCAGGCAGCAAGGATAGGGGTGCAATCCAGAGCCCTTCTTCATCTCCTTTTTCCTGTGATCCAGGTTCTACTGTTCTCCTTCTGCCTCCTTCTTGTACCTGCTCTGTACTCCTCTGATATAAGAGGGAGCCTGCCGACTGAGCACGGAGGTGAGAAGCTTGATATACTGTTGGGGAAGGGTCAGGGGAGGCCTGGCTTGCCCCTGAAGACTCTTTGTCTCCTCAGTGTTGTCCCGCCAGCTTCGTGCCCTTCCCGGTGAGGACCCTCACCAGATGGAGCTGCCTGCTCTGCAGTCAGAGGTACTAAAGGACAGCTCAGACCATGAGCTCCAGGCTCCTGGCAACTCTTGCTGCCTGTTCTGCCACATGCTTCAGGCTCCTGGTGCAGAGCCTCCCCTGAAGTTGCCACTCCCTGACGTCTTCTCAAAGTTCCCCTGCCCAGGTCCCATCCTCTTCCTGCATGCAAATAACACCAGGAAGGAGGGATGGCTCCCTAACCACAGCCTCTCACCTGTTACTTTGCAGGGTGGCTACTCAGGCTAGATGTGAGGATGGGGAGGTGCCCTGACCTAGAGCCTGGGGCCCTCCAGTCTGTGTCCAAATGAATAGGAAAGGACTAGCCTCAGCTCCTGTGCCCTGTCAGGAAGCCTGCGGGCTCAAACACACCACACTTAACTGGCTTTCTGGGTCTTTTATTTCTACCTGTGTATGTTTCTTTGCCCATGAATCAACCTAGGGAATTAACTGACCTCCTTGAGCATTTCATGCATTGGGAAGGAATGGGGTGAGCAAAGAAATAAATAATTAATTTTGATGCTTGGGTCACCCTCAACCCCTCTTTACTGGTGCAGTTGAATGGTGAGAAGGGAAGGGGTGTGATTGTCCTGGTGGCTCAGGGTTGCAGGAGACCTGGTGAAGAGGCCAAAGGAGAAAGGCTGGGCTAGGCTGGAGGCTGGGCTATTAGCACCTCCCACAGTTCAGGGGACTCACTCTGGGCTCAGATTTGCTATGGCTTCCTTTGGTCCATGTTCAGGCCTGGTGCTTTGTCCTGTGCGCCATTCGGCGGTTGGCCTGGAGGCCTTTTTCTGCTGCTGCTGCTGCAGGGCCAGCTGCATGGACCAGATGCTCAGTGGCCGCATGTAGGCCAGGGAGCGGAATACCTGCTGCTGGCAGTATGCCTCGGGGGTCTGGAAGGCCAGGCCCAGGCGCTCCCACACAGTACGGTAGCAGCCCTCAGCTGTCTGGAAGCCCTGCCAGGTCAGGCCCTGTAGGGAAAGACGGTAGTCATGTTACTTGACAACTACTTGAGCTGGAGAGATGGAGACAATAGGGTCTGTGCCCTCAGGGAGTTCCCAGCTAGGGGGGGTGGGCAGGGAAATAAATGTGACCCCCAGACAGAAGCCTGAGGCAGGAGATGAAATGTGTGCTGGGGAAAAGGGGGAAGTTTTCTGGGCTAGGTTAAATGGCATTCAGATAGGCCATAACAGAAGTCTGATGCCTGTGGAATTTGCCGGGCCAAGGTACAGATAGTGGATCGAGAGGGGAAGGGCGTGCATTACCTCCTGGATCATGGTGGCTGCCAGCCCGTAGACCACACCCACCCAGACTTCATCAGACTGGACACTAGATCTATCGGGGACACCATGGGGCTGCATCCCATTCACAGCCCCCATGGCTCCTCCTGCAAAGGCCTGGACATTGAACTCGAAGATGGTTTGGAGAGCACAGACCACATGTGGGGTAGGGAATACCTAGAGGGGCAAGGGTAGAAACATGGTTTCTTAAACTTGCTTCCTAGCTCCAACAAAAACTCCTTTCTATCTGTTTTCTCCATCTAGTCCTAGTCTCTCTCACCTCCGTGTCTCCTTCTCCTAGGCCACTGGCCCTTAGGAACCACTGGCCAGCACACTGGTCAGACATGATGCTACAGGACTGAGGCAGAGGGCTGCAGTCATAGTTGTAATAGCGGCCTAAAGTAGAGGAAGACAAAGTAGGTTTCCTTGCATTTCCACGGCTGCCTGAGGATTCCTTAGGATCCCCGAACTCACCATTCCATAGCAGTCTCTCGTAGGCTTCTTGGCCCCGGCTAAGGATGGAAGAAAACTTATCCTGGATGTCCTGTACTCCACATAGAGCAGCCATCTGGACCATCACAGCCACAGCTGCCAGCCACAGTCCTCCACAGTAAGCACTGACCAGGGACATGGGTTTGGGGGTCAGACCGGCAGCTCCAGCCACTCCCATGCACTGTAACTCTTCCCAGCCCACAATCCCCTGATGCCCAGTTCTCCACCTCAGGATCCCTGGAAATCCCTACCCCCCAACCTGGGGCCCGTGGTGACCCATCCATCATAGGTCTGGTCTGCATAGCCTCCATTCTCAATGAGTCCATCTTGGTCCTTGTCAAACTTCATTTCATACTCCATCACCGCCTAGAGAGGGACCAAGATACTGAAGACCTAGATACTAAGGAAAGACAACAGTAGCCAGCTGGGCTCTCCCCAAACACCAGCCATGCCCTTGGCACACTGGCCACTGCACATGTATCCCTTACCAGACACACAGGCCACATGTCTCTGAGGAAGACCTGATCACCAGTGAGGTAATAGTCCCGATAAACCTGCAGCACAAACTTCAGGTTCAGGTCCTTCCAGTCAGCAGTATCGTGGACCACATATGCATTGACCCGGAGCCATGGCTCATCATCTGTGGGAGGGGAGGCTTATTTGCACCGGGTTGGGTAGAGGGTGCAGCAGAGGGAAGGACCTTGAGGTAGAGGAACTTGAACCTGGGTCTCCAATATCATGGGGGATGACGTTCCTCCTTTTCACAGGTGCCACTACCCCACTCATCAGGTACCGTCGCCGGGTCAGGTCCTCACTGAGAGTGGCCAGAGCTGGGGAGCAGACATACGAGGTGGGTGAGGTCAGGAGTAGACAGGCTTGGGGTGGGGCACAACTATGTGTGTGACTCCAGAGAGGAACCAGTAAGCAGGATGCAGGTATGTTTGTGGGGAAAAGGGGACAAGACAATGTGAGGGATCACAGGTTCAGGGTGTGGGGTGCTGAGGGTAGAAGAGGCACAAACGAGATCCTCACCCATGTCATACTGCAGGCTGAGCTCGAGTTTGGGCCAGAGCATGACGAGGGCGAAGGAAGCATAGAAGTGAACATCGTACGTGTTGTACATGCGATATTCCTGGCCTGGAGGAAGGAGGGAGACACTGTTAGAATCCCTGCTGCCCTTCCTAATTGCCTCCCTAGCTTGTCCTCTAGGGTTAGGGGTGGGAGACTGTCACACTCCACATCTGTCACTTACTCCCTCATCCCAACCAATACCCCAGGGTTGGCAAAACCCATCAGCCTGCCTGATGGTAAGGCACTGACTGGCCTCATGGATGTGGTCTGCCATACCATGGCCCACCAGCAGCCCGCACCTTCAAGGTAGCCAAATCGGCCATACTCTCGTAGGATGGGGCGGAGCTGACACATGCTCTCCACCAGCTCCTCTGGCAGGGAGTCCTCAGGAACTTCTAGCCAGACTGTGCCTCCATCAGCCAGGAAGTATAGTTCATTGAACAGTGCAGATTTGTACCAGGCAGGCAAGGATCTGGGGAGGCAGGAGGAGGGAATGGTGTAATGACTGTGGACCTCCCAGAAAAGGAAGGATTCTGGGGTTTAGCAGAATAGGGGCACCAAATAACCCCCAGCCCAACTTTTTGGTGGGTGGAGAGTGAATCATAGTCCCTGCTGGAGTTTGAGTGCCTGGGAAAAAGACAAGAGGTAGGCTCCATTGGCACCTGTCATCCAGTACCGGGCTCTGCCAAGCCGAGATCTTCTCTTCCCAGTCTGTGTATTGGCACAGTGCATAGTGGCTAAGGGCTGGGGCAGCATCACCATCTGGGCCAAAAAACCTTGTGTACCGCCTGGGGTGGAAAGGGAGGGAAGGGATGAGAGCACAGGGACCAGATCAGAGCTCCATCCCTTTGGATCCCTGTAGTCCCTTGGTCCCCTCACCTGTAATAGACTTGGCTCTTAGCTCCAAACATGATTCTGGGCATGTCCCAAGCCATTGAGAACTCCAGTTGGCACCGGCCTCGGGGCGGCAGCTTGCCCATGACACACACAGCCCCAGCAATGCCTACTCCCTTCTGTGAGGGGGTGCTTCGGCCTGAGAGAAGCACAAGAGGAATCAGCACAGGCACCCACTTCAGCCCCAGGGCTCCCTAACAGGGAACAAAACCAATGCATTACCAGGCCTCCCACCCCTGCTCCAAAGACAGGGCAACCTCTCTTTCTACCACCTCCCTGTCAGGCCGTCCCCATCACCAGCAGGGGAGTCCAGCTGTCCATCCTGGAGTAGATCTTGCCACACCTGCTGCCCAGTGCCATCAGGGTCAAAGGCTGTGACGTGAGTTACCGTGGTCTCTGCCTGTTAAGGGGCCAAAGAATGTGAGGGAAAGTTCCACAAGTGTGCTGGCTTCTGACTGATGGCAGCTCCTGTTACATATTCCCATCTTCAAAGGCTTTCAGGTTTGGGTGAGGGTGGGTCTCAGGAATTGAGGAAATGAAGAGGCCATGGTGGGATGGGGGTGGGCCCAGAGGCCAGGCTAAGGGTAGGGCTGCGGGGCCTAAGGTATAGAGCAGGCTCCTACTGTGAGTCGTGCAGCCACAGCCATGGTGTAGGGATTTGGAAGGGCTGGATGATGCAGCAGCAGTCCCTGAACAGTCTCCCCATCACGCTCCAGACAGAAGGGCTCATTCCACAAGCCCCCTGAGGCATCATCTCCATCCCCAAGTCCATTCCGCATGGAGAACATGATGGACACTTCCAGGGCTTCGTCCCCTTCATTTTCCACATCCCACACAAAAACTCCTACAGGAAGGCTGCTGTCCTAAGAGCAAAAGATCAGACTCAGGTGGTCTCAGGGTGACCCCTCCTGGCCATACTCCCCAGGATCAGTTCTTGAGCCAAGCACCTGACTCAAATACTCCACAATAGATTTGTCTTCCCCTTGCATCACCCTATATTCCCAGGCACTCTGTCTGCAAGGAGACAGAAGACCAGTTGGGTGGTGGTTCTGGGAAACCAGCGGGATGTTCATGCTCCAACCCCCTCTTTTATAGATTTCACATGGAATTTCCAGTAGAGAGAGATCTCAAGAAAGGGAGGACAATGGAAGAAACAGAGCAGGGGCCTCACCTGGTAGTCGTGGGGCAAGATGGGTGTGATCTGGCGGCAGGTGAGGGTGACATTCTGGCCAGGAAGCTGATAGACAGTCCAGGCTCGGGGATAGAGGGCGTGGTAGAATGCAAAGTAGCCACACAGGCCCCAGTTCCAGCTGCGCAGGACACTTGGGCGCTCCATAGATAGGACTTGCTGGTACACTGTCTGCCCTTCCCGGCGCAAGCACACTGTGAACTAAAGAAGGCAGGTGGACTGGAATGTCTAACCCACAGGCACTTCAAACTGGTCTCCATCCTCTCAGAGCAGCGCCTTGTCTTCTGAGCCTGCAGTGCTTAGCACTGCACTGAGGCCTCCCTCACCCCTGGGCTCATTTACCACCAGGCCCTGCCTCCCCCCTCCATTACTCTGGTCTCAGTGCTCTAATGTAGGCCCTTGCCATCTCTGCTTTCATTCTGGGTATCAGAGTGATCTTTTTAACAGATAAATCAAGATGTCAGTCTGTGTTTCTAATGTTTTAGTGATTCCCCATGGCACTCAGGCTAAAGGCAACTCTTCTGCCTGGCTTTCAAGGCCCTTCTTGATCTGGCCTCTTCCTGCCATCAGACTCATGACCTATAATACAAGCACCTATATCTGGTCACATCAAATACTGTTCCTTGAACACATTTCCTCTTCCATGCCTTTTCTCATGCTCATTCTCCATCTGGTGAAACCCCTCCCTCCTAGGTCTAGGTTAGATGCCATCTCCTCTCCTTAAGCAGTGAGTCATTCTGTGTGTTCCCCTACCTGCCTGGTCTAGTATGTTATTAGGTGTTTATGTACAGTCTGACACTCTGACTACCCCGTGTGTTCTTTGAGAGCAGGAACCCTCTCTAGTCTGCTGAGGGCCCCTTTGCACCTGTGACTCCCCACCAGGGTCAGCAGTGGGCAGGGGCAGTGGGCAAAGTCTGCACCAGTGGGACTATTTGCTCAGTGTCCTAGCCATCCCTCTCATTTTGACACTGATGTGGGCTCATAGTCTCCATTTTCTCTCAGTCCTGTTCCCTGAATCCAAATTTAAGCTTCTGGAGAGTAGGGTTGTTGAGTGGTTCAAAGTACTGATAATTTTAATATATATTAAAAAGAATTTTTTATGTTATTGGAATAATAGGTAATAGTTAAGACCACAGACTTGTGACCACAGAGAAAACTAGTTCTGAATCCCAGTGCTTTCATTTACCAGCCGTGACTGAGCACATTACTAAACCTCTTTGGATCTTAAGATTCCTACATCTGTAAAAAGGGCATAATAATGGTACTTACTTACAGTCTTTAAATATTATACAAAAAGCCTAGCATAGTACCTAGCACGGGTTACACATGCGGCAATTACTTTTAATTGTAGAGTCACGATTCTGTAAGGCATTCCCCTCAGGATATCTAAGGGATGAGCCAGAGAGGAAACTTGGGGCATTGGGGAGGGCTGGTAAACCGGAACTAGGAAGGGCTTTGTCACTAATTGGACTCAGGTCTGCTAGTCATTTCTTTGAAGAAGAGCTGAAAACTGGAAGCATTGCTCTGACAGGAAATAGGAAGTTGGTAGACAACTTCAACGGGAGGTCACTAGAGAGAGATGATGATACGTAGACTACATGCCTCTGGCAATTGAAGGCCCAGGTGTGATGAAGGGAGAGGGAAAAGAAGCAAAGCTTCAGAAAAGGGAGGAAGGCTAGAGATCTATGCCTGGGAAAGGCAGGGCCTCCTAGGCCCTCAGCCAGACAGACTCCAGAGAGTGATTACTGACCTCTGGCAGAAGGCTGGCAAACGGTGAACAGTGGGCCCTCTATGCAGCCTTTTTTCCCATGCATTTGTAGACATTTGGTTTTGTTTTCCCTTGTAGTCCTGCCCCATGTTCTGTCAACCAGGTTAAGTGATCCTGGAATTCTCTGTGCTTTGTGTAGCTGGGTACTGGCTCAGCTAGTGGAGCTGGGGCGGCAAAGTAGGTAGGCCTTTACTAGGGAAATGGAGGGCACAGGGATGCTGGCGTTTACTCTTTCAAGGAACATGTGCTCTGTATCTTGTTTGTGTAGTACATCCTAGCACAGGGCTGGACACATGGAAAGCATCCTGAAAGATCTTAATGGACTGGATCATGTACACATCTAACTGCCACGGCCTCTACTAGCCAGAAGGCCCTTCCTGGCCTGGGCAGGTACTGTCCTGGACCTTTCCTTCAACTCCTGGCTCTTACTTGATCAGCGATGACTGTCTGGTGCTGGTACATTCCAGGATTAAGCTGCCAACGACAGAACTGGCCTCTCCAGCCTCGGGTGATAGTGCCTCCCCCAATGCCACCCAAGGGACAACCTAGACAGAGAATCGGGATGGTTAATGGGACATAGGAGAGGAAAACAAACCAATTTCTCATTCTAGACTATATAGTTTCCCTAAAAGTCATGGGGATGTTAAATCGACATGTTGTACACTTTAAACTTACACTATTATATTTCAATTATATCTCAGTAAAGCTGGGGGGGAAGGTACCCCTGGAGGATGGAGCAATGCAACTTGCATAAGCTAGAAGCCTTTGCCTAGCTCTGGTAGGCCTGGAGGCTGGCAGGGCCCTCTCACAGCTTGGGTGAGGCTCACCATAGATCTGTCTCAGGGGTACAGAATTGATGAGGTCGATGAAAGGGGTCTTCTTCTCCACCTGGGTCTTCCGGTACCACCACTGCAAGTACCTGAGAAGCAAGAGGCAGAGTGAGGCAGTCAGCAGCGCCCATGGGTTACAGTCATCTGCCTCTCTCTGCACACCCAGCTGTGACTTCCCATTAAATGTCCTGAGGACTGATCACCCTTCACTTCCAAACCTCCCCTCAGCTTACCTACCTCAAGGTTCCCTCATCTTCCCAGTCGCCCCTGCTCACATGAGACTGTCTTTACTTCCCCTCTCTATTCCCCTCAGGAGGAGCTTTCTGATGGGCGCTCATCTCTAACTACACTGCCACTGCTTTAGTTTATCCCAGGAGCTTCTGAGGTGTTGAAAAGGCCACTTAACGGTTGCCCGACCTACAACCCCTCTGCCCCCCACCAACAGGAGTAGGCTGCTGAGGAAACATTCTCCTTTTTAAAGTGACTGTTTTTCTTCCTGATTACGACAGGTGAAAATTCGAATACACCAAGTGTTAGGAGAAAAAAAATTCCCATCATCACAGATAACCACTAGTTTACATTTTGGGACATTTCCTTTTAAGTGATTTTTTTTTTAAGTTCACCATTTAAACTGTAAGCTTTTTGATTTATTCTCTCATAATATCCAAGTAAAGCCTTCTAAAACCCCAAATTTTCCTGGTCTTGTCATAGCTGTATATCCAATAGACAAATGATTCTGATTCTCTTAGGGACTCAAGGCTGACATGTGTCCCAGCCTCTCTTCTAATCGTATATCTTACAAATTCCCATCCGGGGTGGGTGCTCACTGCCCTGCTCTGTCAAACTCCCCGACATTTCCACTCTCCTCCCTACCCAACCATTTTTTATATCCATTTTTCAGACATACCACTTGTAACCATGTAATTTGGTAAGTAACCCTCAGCCTCATTTTCCTCATCTATGAATGGAGCGAAACCTCCTGCCCTACCTACCTCATGAAATGTTTGAAAGAGCAAATGACATATCAGTAGGAAAGCCAGAGTAGAGTATCTGGGGCAGGTATGATCATTACTTGTACGTAAGTTATCTCAGTTCCCAATCAGGCTGTCTCATTTCAGTGTTCTTCATATGAGTCTTATGTGCTTTTAAGTTCTTTGGGGAAAGGGACAGTCGTGAAGGGACAGTCGTGATTACTGCTGCTTCAAGCACAGGGCAGGGCACATGGTCTGCACTCAGTAAATATTTGCTGAATTTACAAACAAACCTACAAACAATGGTACCTAGGAGAAATGGCCAAGGACAGGAGCAAGGGGCAGAGGAATGTGATTAAAGGACAGTGCAGCTAATTCTGAGGGCTGGGGGAGAGGGAGGGAAGACAAAGGATGGGATGATGGGAAGGCAGAAGTTCCCCTCTGCCAGATTAGAGGAAATTGGACTTTGAAACCAGAGGCCAGAAAGGATTGGTGGAGGGGTGGAGGGGGCAGCAGGAGAAATGCAAGACAAAAGATAGGCAGAACAAAGCGGGATCTGGCATAGAATTAGCACTCTTATTGAGTGAGCAGACTCTGGTTGGAAGAGAGAGCAATCAAAATCGAGTTCTTATCACATCAAGGCCAAGAGAACTGTCTTGCTGGAACTCAAGATCAGAGTACTCCCAGTTCAGCTCCCTCTTAAGGTCCGTCTTTCTCTCACTCTCTTACATTCCTGATCTATTTGGCTTTCTCCATAATTTAAACCCCAGGTTAACTATCATTCAGAGCTCTTCCAGCCTCACTCCTGCTTATTCTTCAATGCAGCACTTCATCCCTTTCCAAAAGCCCTGTGTCAGTGACCCCTCCTCCAGTCCTGGTTTGGGAGCCAAGGTCCAGGTGGCTGAGCCCAGCTGAAGACTTCCATGACTCAGTTCATACTTAGGGACTGAGGAGCTAGGATGCACGCCTGTTCTTAACCTCCGTCTCCCTACCACATGCACCCTGGTGTGCTGCTCTCAGTACCCTAGCTCTAGATCCTATTTCGACCCAAAGGCTTTTGGGGTCAAAGTTTGGGCTGGCTCAGTTTCAGAAGCTGCCTGGAGGGGTGATTGTTCTCTGGTAGGGCCACTCACAGGAACTAGCAGAGGAGCCAGATAACCAGGCTGTGCCAGGCCCTTCTCCCACTGCCTAGGGCTGGGATTAGGTAATGGGCTCCACGCCCCAGCCCCACAGCACTGACTGAGGAGAGGAAGGATCCCCTACTTTAGAGGCTGTCAAGGCTGGATTTCCCAACCTTTATGCCTTCTTCAGCAGCTCTGTTTACTGTGTGGACTGATTCAGGATGACCTCAGGGTGATGCTTTCTGTCCTCACATCCACCTGTTCCTGTTAATAGGTCTCGGCTCCTTATCACTAATTTTTGAACTTAGTGGGGATCTGGAGGGATGTAGAAGAGTTGTACAGCCCAGGGTAAGCTCTTGGAGTGTCTTCAGCCATTGGATGGGTGGGGGACCAGGGAAGGCTCTAGAAGACTTTTACTAAGAACTCTGGGGACACCTATGGCAGTGCCTCTCTGATCAGAGGTCTTCTTTGCTTTTTAGTATCATGGGCTGTCTATCCCAGAATAGAGTGAGCAGCACCTCTATCACCCTCTCCTTAGGGTTGAGAGCAGGTAAGTTCTCGCCTATTCCCTAAAGCTAGAGCTTAAGGATAGAAACTAATAGGTGTTGGGACTGTAACATGGTGGCTTGAATGAGGCAGAGAATGCCCAAGCTGCTAAGGGGAATCTTGGGTTTAGAACCTCCCCCTCCCAAATAAAACAACATTGTGTCAGTATGATAACAGCCAGACTATCCTACCTTGCCACAAAGTATAGCCAATTACAAAGATAAGTATTTGGAAAAGAAGGGATATGTGAAAGGGGGCCTAAATGGGAAAGACTGCAGGACCAGATGTTCCTGCTCTTTTCTGCTTAAAAGACAAGTTACTGGGAGGAAGACGGTTGCGAAGAGATGTGACCTATTCTCATCATCCAAACCATAGGCTTAGACTATATTGGGGAAAGGGTCCATTTGACTGGGACAAAGCACCCACCTGCTTTCTCTTTCCCACCTCTGCTGGAAGTCTTGTGCTGGAACCTAAGGTACTCTAGGCAATGGGATCTACTCACCGAAGGCCCATGCCCAGATGCTTTATCAGGTTGCTTAGGGAGATGTTGTTGGCATTAAAGGGTTTCCTTTTCTCTGCAAACTCATGAGCCAAGCAGATGCGCCAGCCAAAGGGAGGCACTTTGTAGCCCTTAGCTTTACCCTCATAGGAAGCCATCAGCTTTCCAGAGTCATCCTGATTGTGGTTGCCCCAGTCATTTTGTGGTCGACTGACCTCAGGGCTCTTGCTGTCTGTAACTTGTATAGTCTCAGTGCTTCCAGTATCTCCAGGGCAATAAACCTGTGGATCCCCTTTGGCACAGCTGGTCTGCTCCGAGGCAGGGACTCCAGTTCCCATGTTCCCTAGTTCCTGCGTCCCAGCGACCTCGGTGGTCCAGGGTCCTGAGCCTTCGGATACAAAGTATCTCACCAGCCAAGTTCAGATGCGGGCGCCCGTTGTTAGGTGCCGTCTCGGAGGGCCAGGCGCTGGGGAAAGCCGAGGTGGACTGGTGTCTGTAGACCTGGGGAGCTGCTGCTGGAGCGGCCACAGCAGTGAAACCGCCTCGGGCTCCCCCTCGGTTGTCTTTCTGGGTCCTGGGCGGGAAAGGTCGGGCCTGTAGTCATTGGGCCGCGGTGATTAACTTGCCTGGCCAAAAGGCGACTGAGCCCGCAGAGAGGGGTGGAGCCCCGGGGGCCAGCGCGCAAAGCACCGCCCCCGGGACCGGCCAGGGAGCTCGCGGAGGCCTCAGCCCTGCCCCTCGGCCGTGGCACCTGGTCCCCCCCAAGGGCTGGGCGCGGGGTCTCTCCGATCGGTGTCGAAAAGCACCTGCGCGCCGGTGCCAGCCCGTGAGAAGGTGACCCAGGGCGGCGGGACGGCTCGAACCCCTTCCGGTCCTGCCAGCCGGGTGCTTCCGACCGGAAGGGGAGCCGTTGGGGGAGGGTGGCGGGCTGAAGGGAAGTCCCGCCTCTGCTGCAGACGCCGCCGAGCACTTGGCCGGGTCCCGGAGGGCCTGGCAGGTGAGGGTCTCGGGGTGCCGAGACCCCCAGTTCCCACCGAACGAGTTGTGCCGGCCAGGGGCGCGAGGTGAGGGGCAGCCGTGGCTTTGGGCCGGGACGTGAAACCTTGAGGGAAGGGTGGGCGCAGGCCAGTTTTAGGGTGCTGGGGGTTAGGGGGACTAACCCAGCGCTAAGAGGGGCTGGGGATCTGGGACCCAGAGCGAAACCCTTCCCCTAGGTACTACTGAGAAGGCTGCCACCCGTACCTCCCTTTCCTCTCCTCACAACCCAAATCCAGGTGTTTACCTCTGACACTGTGATGCTGACCGCCTGCCTCCTCGGTCCTCTTCTCCAGGCTCGCCTCAGACACCCGTCCCTGCCATGGTACTAACCTCTGACCTGACCTTGTTTCCTTCTAGATCCGATTCCGGAGCTGCCATGATTGAAGTGGTAGCAGAGCTGAGCCGAGGTCCTGTGTTTCTGGCAGGGGAGGCGCTGGAGTGTGTGGTGACAGTCACCAACCCCCTGCCCCCTACAGCCACCTCTGCATCCAGGTGGGGATGCTGGTACTGAAGAAGGTGGCCCTTCTAGGAGGAAGCCTTGTATCTATAGTGCTAAAAAACAGAGCTCAGGTTATGCTGTAGTTACATCATCACCTTGTGCATTGTGCTCTCCCATTGTAGGAAAGGGCTGTTTAGCAGAAGATGTGGTTGACATAGCCTTCCGCTCCCTTCTCCCTCCTCCCCTTTTCCCACGTTTACTCATGGTATGCTTCTCTTTGCTTAATGATTTCTCTTTGGGGTTCTGGACTCCCTGATCCCTAGGACAGCCACCTTACCATGTTGGTCTCCTCAAGCAGAGTGGTAGGGTGTTTGAGAGACCATTTGTGAAGGCAGGAACTCCCCTCTGATGCTGCCTTTTCCTCCTACCATAGTGAGGCTCTGGCCTGGGCCAGTGCCCAAATCCACTGCCAGTTCCATGCCAGTGAGAGTCGAGTGGCACTGCCTCCCCCTGACTCTAGCCAGCCAGATGTCCAGCCTGAGAGCCAGACTGTCTTTCTACCACACCGAGGTTAGAGATGAGGCATTTGCCTATGGAGGGGGATGGAGTCATTGTCACCCAAGGGTGAAGTTGTTAAATTGTTTTGGTGGGTCATTATAGTCTTGTCACACTGAGGATGTGGGGCAATGCAGTTGTTGCTTTGGGGGTGTAAGACTGCTCCTATGTCACAACAAAAAAAGCTTAGTTTGCACTGCCCTTTGTTGGCAGTCCTTACGACCCCCACTTGCAGTGCTAGCTTATCAAGTACTGGACAGTGGGGTCATTAAATTGTAGTCTTTTTTTTTTTTAACCGTTTTTAGGTGAGAGGGGTCAGTGTATCCTTTCTACTCCACCAAAAATCCTATTCTGTGATCTGAGGCTAGACCCTGGAGAGTCCAAATCATGTGAGTCACTGCCTCCTACCTCCCACCCCTTGGAAGGCTCCTGGAGGGAGGACTTCTCTGGCTGCCTCTGGCTACCCTGACTACTACTTCCCAACCAGACTCCTACAGTGAAGTGCTGCCCATAGAGGGGCCACCGTCCTTTCGGGGCCAGTCAGTCAAGTATGTCTACAAACTGACCATTGGCTGCCAGCGTGTCAACTCACCCATCACTTTACTGAGAGTCCCTCTGAGGGTTCTTGTATTAACTGGTAAGTAAGGTTTCCTGGAGGGAAGCACAGGGAAGAGTCTCACTAAAGCAGAAATGATTTTTAGAGGGCTTGTGAGGCTGGAGGGAAGCTTCCTGGTCTTTGTGAAGATGCAAGGGAGTTGGGGAGGGAATAGGGTGAGATCTGTACCTCAGCCTTGGCTCCCTTTACCTTCAGTCCTCTCAGGTTGGAGTCTAAAATCCTAACCTTCCATTCATTCATCTCTGTTCCCTTCCAGCACTCTTTCTCCACTCACTCTCTCTCTAGGCCTTCAAGATGTCCGGTTTCCCCAGGATGAGGCTGTGGCCCCATCTAGTCCTTTCTTGGAGGAGGATGAAGGTGGGAAGAAGGATTCATGGCTAGCGGAGTTGGCTGGGGAGCGCCTCATGGCTGCCACATCCTGCCGCAGCCTCCGTGAGAACCCTTTCAGAGTTGTTCCCCACCTCCCATCCATAGTATTCCTGTCTCAGACAAATTCACCTAACTGCCACGTGCTTATGAGGATCCACTGATAGCTCACCCCATAGTATAAAGAAAAGCCCCTACCTTTTGGACTCTGGCCCCTAGCCCGAAATATTCCTGCCTATGGACTCCAGCCTCACAGTGTTTCATTCTCCCCAGATCTATACAATATCAGTGATGGCCGAGGAAAAGTTGGGACATTTGGCATCTTCAAATCTGTATACAGACTCGGCGAGGACGTGGTGGGGACCTTGAACTTAGGTGAAGGAACTGTAGCTTGTCTGCAGGTGAGAAGGAGAAAGGCTTTGGGGGCGCTGAGCCTGAAGGGCTCAGGAGGAAGGATAACGGCTGCTGCATAAATGGGTGGAATGTAGCAGTGGATAGCAGGGTCACCCAGGGTCCCACTGGTAAAACAGCTTGAGGTTGGGCTGTCCTGTCACCTAGCATCAGCACTTCCCAATGCCTGCTATCATGTACTTCTCTTCTTGCTCCCAGTTTTCAGTAAGCTTACAGACCGAGGAGCGTGTACAGCCTGAGTTCCAGCGGCGCCGGGGGACAGGGGGTGCCCCCTCTGTATCCCATGTGACTCATGCCCGACACCAGGAGTCCTGCCTACATACAACCAGAACCAACTTCTCCCTCCCCATCCCTCTCAGTTCCACCCCAGGCTTCTGCACAGCCATTGGTGAGACCCTGACCATTATGGGAGGTGGGTAGAAAGTAAAATGTCATGTGGCTCTTTCCCAGCACACTCCCAGACATGCCCATGCCCAGCCTCTGACACTAAACATTTTCTCAGACCTTCACCCCATTTCCTAGGTGCACTGACCCCCTAAACTTTTAACAGCTTTGGAGATCTCCTTCTTTAACCCTACCCACTGGGAGCCTGTGATGGATGCAGCAATTCCTGACCCCCAGTGCATTTAGTTTAGCTGCCAAGACTTGACTGTCCCACACTTGGTGTTATTAGTTATTAGGACACTGCTATCCTTGTTATGCGTCTGGTTAATGCACTAGATTTCTTTAGAGAAACCCTTAATCCTAGCTCTCTGCCCTGTGACTTCTCCCTTTTCCTGAATACTGTTTTGCATTTTTCTTTTTTCTCATTTGCTAACCACATTCTGTCATTGGCTTTTACTCCTGGCTTCTAATGCCTCTGCCTTTATCTTTTTCTTCCACAGTGTCCCTGAAGTGGCGATTGCATTTTGAATTTGTAACATCCCGAGAACCAGGTCTGCTGCTCCTTCCTCCCACAGAACAGCCCGAACCTGTCACCTGGACAGGGCCTGAGCAAGTGCCAGTAGACACCTTCAGCTGGGACCTCCCCATCAAGGTGCTGCCTACAAGCCCTACGTTGGCCTCATATGCAGCCCCAGGCCCCAGCACCAGCACTATAACCATATGAGATGGGCTCACTGCAGCACTGCTTTCTTCAGGATACTGAGAACTCACCACCTGGACTCGAGTAGGGCTTGTTTTTTCCACCTGGGGGCCAATGGTATGGACAATGAGAGAGGCAGGCTTTCAGCTATAGCATTAATTTATTGACTGAGAATAAATGGGCAGCTGCTAGTGGTTTCCCTGGAAGTGGCAGCAGTGGGCAGTCAGCAGAAGGGTGATCAGTTGAATTTAGCTGGAGTGGGGAGCAGGAGCCCCAGGAACAGGGGTGTTAGCTGAACCCCACTCTAGGTCGGGCCCTCTCCCTTTACAGGGCAGCCGAGGGTCAGATTTTTGCACCAGAGAGAATTGGCAGGTTCCTGCCTCCTGATGTACCTCACACCCAGCGGGGAAGTCGATGGGATGCTGGGATCTGGGGAACCAAAGGATGAGGAAGGATTAGCATGGTGAAGGGCCACCTTTATCCCTGCCCCACATTCCCTTTCTCCCAACATTCCTCTCATTATCTTCCTTTAGTGCCCCCCTGGTCCCCCTAACTAAGCTCTTGTCTACCATATTTGGAATTTTTTGTTTCATAGCAGGAATATTTCCCTCCAGATCACCCTTACCTCCCTTTGTCACCTGAAGCCTTATCTCTCACCCTTTTGTTGGTACCTTCAGGTTCAGCCAGCCTCCTGCTGCTCTTCCGTTCATTCTCATATCACAGCAAACTAGTCATACCCTTGCTGTCCCTCACTCACATCAGAGCCAATCTCCTCTGGCCATCTTTGGTCACTTACGTATCACAGCAGCCCACACCGATGGGATGCAGACAAGTGCAATGGAAACAGTCCTTGCGGAGCCAAGATTCACCCAGGGTGAAATATTTCCCTTCATAGTGGCAGGGGGCTAGGGAAGAACAGGAAATGTTAGTGTGGGGGAGTGGTGATGGCAGACAGAATTGCTGTGGTCTGCAGTGGGAGAGGGTAAGTACACACTACTGCTGTTCCTGAGCTGGAGGGAGTCTGGATATCCTGACACAGGATCATCTCTCTAAGTCCCACTCCTCCCAATACCCTCTGTCCTCATCCGTTTCTAATGCCTCACCCAGCTTTACCTTGAGCTTGGAAGTAGCACTTGCTGTGGACTCCTGGGTGCTGGAGCAGCAGAGATACCACCAAGTAGGTGATCCCCCATCCTCCCAAGATCCCTGTAGCCTGTCTTGCCCAGAGCATCCTTACAGCTGTTCCTGAAGCACAGCCCTTAGTCCCTTCTTGGCGCCTTTTGAGACTACTTTGGTCTTGCCTCCTTGGCTTTTCTTTGTTTCTCTCCTTCAGTCTTAGTTTCTATCTGTCTTCCCTGGGCTCCTGTCTCACACCATCTCTGTGCCCTCTGCTCTTGCAGGCTTGGGGATGTTTATAAAGTGAGGACCCTGGCCCCCTGCTGAGTAGAGCTGGAAAAGCTGTAACTGTGTTTCCTGAGGTGAGGGCATGAAAACAAGAGTCTAGCTTTAACAAGCTGTGAGAGCTGATTCATAGCCAGGGGGAGGGAGGTGACCATGGAAGGGGCACTGGACCAGGCACTTCCTCAGCAAGGAGGTGGGAGGGGTGAGGGCCCCCTGGTGGTCCCCAGATCTCTTCCCTGACCTGGAGAGAAGGAAGCATTCCGCCATCTCCCCCCATCCCTTCCGCAGCACACACACGCACTCCAGGGGTGTGTATGCTGGGATCCCTGCCTGGACCGGAGGGAGGCGTTTCCTGGGGATGGCTAATCCTGTGCCCCAGCCAAACCAAGGAGCTCCAGTGGGTTTCGACGGCCAGAGGCTCCAGGAGAGTGAACAGGCACCTGGAGTGGAAAATGTTTCTCTTAGACCCTAGGGTAGTGTCTCCCTGAAGTATCCTAAAGACATGGCTGCCCCTCAGATTGGGGGTAAGAGTGTCTTCCACAAGTATCCCAGAGATTAATTATCCATTGTTCAGTACCTCCAAACATGCAGCAGATACAGGATCTCCCCTGATCTGGCAATGGTTCTTCCAAAGAACCATCTCTAAATGCCCTAATAATATAAGTCACTCCGGTTTGACAGAGGTTCCTCTCTTACCTCCTACATTATGGAACAAGGATTTAGGAATTTATCCTCTGATATGGTCTTTGGGTTTCCTGCAGGTTCTGGACACCCCAAATAGGTGATGAAGAGCATAGATTGTAGAGTCAGACTTGGGTTCAGATGCTGACTTCACTTAGGAGCTATGTGGCCTTGGGCAAGTTACTTCACCTCTCTAAAGCTGTTTCCTTATCTAGAAATGGGGATGGTAATACTAATTCATTGGGTTAAGGGCTTAAATGAGGTAGTGCCTGTGATGCTGTCCCTGGCACATAGGCCTGAGAAAATACTAGCTACTGAGGTTGTGTTAGAGCTCAGAGACAAAATCCTTTGACACTGAGCAGCTCTGTGCACAGCTGAGGACTTCTAGTATGGACTTCTGCTCCTTTCACATGCGTGCTCCATGTCATCCTTACCACCTCCTTCTGAAGTTGTCTCTGGAGCATTTGGGTTTGGTCCTTGTATTCTTGAAATTATAAATACCTGGTTGCTGATATACCTACTTTCACTAGGTCAGTACCTTTCTCATCATCTTTCCTGCTAACTTTAGGACTCCTGCTTTTTCTCGTTAGGATTCGAATCCATTTCTTCCCATCCACACTCATGTGAACTTTTAAGTTCTCCTTTCTGACTGCTCTAATGCTGGCCATCTCTTTAGTATTAATGGCTCCTTCCTTCACTTTCTTTCACTTTTCCACACTCCAAAGATCCTTGTTCTAGCAATTCCGTTCTACCCACAGGGCCAGTTAATTTGGCAATTACTCTATTTTTCCTTTCAAGTTCCAGTCCCATTTACTCCAAGACTGCCACTTCCTGTCACCAAATGGAGCAGATACAATTATTTCCAGCTGGCTTTTTGGGAGGGCTACCCTGCCTCTCACCTCTTCATTGAAAAACAACTTCATCAGTACCTCAAACTCCCTATCTGTCCTCCTCCAAGAAGACAGCACAAGTGGATGGAGATGCAGACTACCACATGTTCATCCTCGCTGAGTTGTTGCCCTTTCTCTTGCAGAGGAGTGCTAAGAGAAAAGAAAACTCAGTGGGAGCAGGGTACCAATTAGGCTGGCTTGGGAGAGGCATGGCCTGGGGCTGGTCTTTTGGCTGGGGCAGTTGGATTAGAAGCCTGTCTAGGATAAGCGTCCAGAAGTATTCTATCAGTGGTCAGTAGCTTGGCTTCTGCCTTTCCGAGGGGCCCTAGCTGGAAGTCTGGACCGTAGACTGCTCCTGCAATGGAGCCAACCCAGCAGGGGGCGGGCAGGAATGGGGAGCAGAGGAGCAAGCATGAAATTGGTGGTGAGGCTGGAAGGCAAAGGGGACCTAGTGGGAATTGTGTGTGTGAGGTAATGGGGACAGAAATGAGAGTTACTGTCGGTAATGAAGGTGAGGTAGGCATATGGGGTAGGAGTCAGGGGGCTTCTGGAAAGTAAGGCAAGGGTTGAGCCAGGATTCCTTGCCCAGAAGTTAGTAGGCATTGGGCTCCTGTTTGTTGAACCTGCTTGCGTGTCTGGTGGTGTGAGCGCACGTGTGCATCTGTGTAGCTTCTTGAGGCCACAGGCCGCGCTTGTGGTAGGGGTGTGTGGTGTGTGTGTGGGGGGGTATCAGTGGTTAGGCCACAACTCGTTGGGGATGCCAGTCATGGGGGACGAGGCGGCTGGCGCGCGCTGCCCACGCGGGGACAAAAAACATCCGCCGGAGGCCCGGCCGGGCGGCGTTCCAGTAGCGCCGGGCAGGTGCGCGCGGTGAGGAAGTGAGCACCTTCCGGACCCCGGCCGCCCGGCCCTCGGGTGAGTCACCGCCGACCCCCGCCTGGATAGGAGACACCAGCAGCAGCTGAGGGGCCGGAGGCACGGCTGGCTGGGGCGGCCCCCGGGAGGGTTGAGGAAGTCCCCGACAGAGGAAGGGGGCTTCTAGGGATCGGGCCTAGGTTTTGCCTTAGGCGCAAAACGCCTAACGAGCCCAATGAGAAGGCTGTGACAGAAGGGAGACAGGCGGGGAGGGAGCCCCGGGGAGCTGGCGAGGAAGGGCGAGTCGGCGAGAGGAGGGGGACTGCAGAGCCCGGGCTGTTCGCTGGAGCGCGAGCCCGAGCCTGTGGGTGGAAATGGCCAGCTCGGGCCGGGGTCGACGTCTGCCCGGAGGCCTGTGCGCTCCCACAGTGAAGGGTAGGCTTAGGCAACAGCGGAGTTAGGCTCGTTTGGGTGCAGTTGTGGCTAGATCATTAAAGGCTCTGAATGCCGGGATTCGGTTTGGCCCGGCAGGGCGAATGGATGGTCTCTGGGCATGAAGAGTAGTGTGTGGCTTAAACACAAGATTTACTGTGTCTAGCTTTACTGCCTGCCAAAGATTTAAGCATTGCATTAATGATTTTTATAGTCATTTAAAGTTGCATGACTATCAAACGATGTAATTTTGTTGAATTTTTTAAAATAGCAAAGTTGTAAAATTGGATTCAGTGTTTGATTTAAAACCCAAAGTAAGGCCATCAGCACTAGTTATATGGTGTTGTCCTTTTCTTTGTCTTGCTTTTGTGTCATTTTTCCCTCACTGTCTTGACTTGAGTACTATTAATGCCTCAGTTCTTCTCTATCAGTAGCATAGCACTTCTGGTTTTCCTCTTACTCATCTTGTGGTCTTTATATTTAACTTAATTTTTCTCTGAGCAGCCCTTCCACTTGCCCTATATATCCCGAACCAGGTGAAACATTTCTGGGGTGGAGGCCTTGGGCTACAGTATACAAAGACAAGTAACTCAGTTTTACCACATGTATTAGGTTACTTATTATCTTCTGTGATATATACTTAACTATAAAGCTACCACATTTACCCTGTGGCTGATAAAAGGAGAAAGCTAAAGCAATTATTTTCACAATAAGATTTCTATAACAGCAATTTATTAGGCTGATTTCTCTTCTAAAAGCAATTGTACAATGGTATTTTGTACTTGTCTCAGAAACTGACACTAATTCTGTCATGGTCTTTAAAATTTATATATCTTAGGCCAAAGGCAGTTGCAAGGATTAGGATCTTTATAATTTATTTTAATGATCCTTAAATCCTGTAGTTGCCTTTGGCCCCAAACAAGAAAATTTGGGTCAGTTAATTTATGGGAAAAAAAAAAAGGAAAGAAAATAATTGCCTATTTTGGGCCCTGTTGCTTTCTCCTGCACTGTTTCAGCTCTAGCCCTACCTTATTCCCAGTGGTCTTTGCCTTCATCCCTTCTTTGCTCTGCTGGGCATCTTTAGAGGAAAACTTCACACCAACTTCCTCTACCATAAATTCTCTCCCTTCCCTCAACTTTACACTTCTCTTTGCCAACATATACCACTACCTCTTCATTAATTTTTTTTTTTAACCTACATTCCTGTCTGGCTCTTTTCCATCTTTAACACGCTCTTGTTGAAATCTTCTTTTTCCTCCTTTCTTTTTGGCTAAGACCTCAGATTTTTTAAAGGCAAGGCTTTATTTATTCTGCATGATCCACTTCTGTCTTCCCTCCTCTTCTGTCACCTTTTTCTTACTCTGGACTATTTGTAAACTCTATTATGCTTGCTTTCACCAAGGGTTCAAACTTCTCCTGTGATTAAGTATTTTTCCTCTAGATACAGCAAAAGATGTTTATGTTTTCACCATTTTTTCTACCAGAAAAAGAATTTTCAAATTGACATCTATTTCAATCTCTTCTTCCAACATCTTGTATCCAGAAGCATGTTATTGTAAAGTCTACTGAGTGACCACATAAGTTTGGTGTTGTGCCATATAGTGAATTTCATAATCCTGGTGCCAGATTCCTAAATGCTTACCAACAGTAGATAGGTGTTCACACATCTATTGTTGAACAATCTTATGCACACATGCACACTAATATGCAGAGATAATAGACCCATCAGTTAAATATATGATATGAATATATATTCAGTATATTACACTATAATCAAGCCAAATCATTTTGGGATGGAAGATGAGGATGGGTAAATTCATTGGATAGAAGATTAAGAGACAATATCCTTTGGCATCTGTATTCAGATGAGATGGGTGAGAGAACAGTCATTCCTGTAAAGATGAAGAGACTTCATGAAGGAGGCTGAGTTTCAAGAGTTGAGAGAGTTGTAAGGATGGCATGGAGGGGCCAGAGTCCCAAGAAGATAGGATTGCTATACAAACAGCCCAGTATTCTCTCTGGCAGAGAACATAAAAGACTCTCTGGTTGTAGTGCTGATTTCAACTGCAGTCACGTTTCCATTAATAACTCATATTCATATTAAAGTTTTCCTACCTCATCTCTGTACCTCTGGAACCATTCTTACCAAATTTTTCTTTATTATTATTTTTCTGTTCACAAATTATTACATTCATGATAGCCCCCTGTCCCCACCAATAGTTAACTCCCAGCTAACCACCATTAAATATGAATAAATGCCCTATTTACTTATTTACTTTAATTTTTCCTGCCTGCTCCACAATCTACTTGTGGTAGTAGTGACTTTCAAAATTCCATTTATAACTTTCATTTTGATCTCATTTATAGGTTATTCTTTTCTTAAAATTATAGACTCAAACCTATATATTTAGAAGGCATCTAGTCAGTTGTTCATTATCTCTGAAAGATGATCAAATAGGTCTTTGACTATCTTTACTGAGTGGAATGGCTTACCCCCTCTTGTGTCGGAGGCTGCCCATTCTGCTGTTATATAGCTTTAGTTACTAGAGGGATAAGCTAAAATCTGCGTTGATATAGCATCTCATTTTTACTCTTAGTTCTGTTCTTTGAAACAGTTTGGAAGAAATCTTGTTTTTCAATGTGGCAGCTCTTTGTATAGATTTGAAAATAATTTGTTTTTTGCCTACACTTTTTTCTTTAGTACTGTCCAATAAAACTTTCTGCAGTGATGGAAATGTTCTCTACCTGTCCTGTCTAATCAGTGGCCACTAGCCACATGTGTTATTGAGCACTTGATATATTGACAGTGTGACTGAGGAATGGAATTTTAAATTTTATTTATTTTTAGCTAATTTAAATTTAATACCCAAATGAGGTGAGTGACTCTTGTGTTAGTGCAGCTCTAAACTCTGAGAGTGGTGCATTGTCATGTTGCTGTCTCTTGGCCCCTCCAGAAGTCTTACGGTCACCTCCCACATGGGAAAAACATGTATCTGGGTCCCCAATTTGTCTGGAGGCCAGCCTTATATCAGTGTCACAACTGAGAGAAAAATACAAACCCAACCCCCAGAACCCTGATGAGTAGTATCAGTTTTTATGGAAGGTTTCTTAGAGGGGGTAGGAGATGAAGGTTATATCTCATCTCCCTTATCTCAAAAGCAAATGGAAAAAATATTACTCATTTAATTTCTCTTTCCCTAAGAGAAAGAGTCCCTCAAGCTCTGTCCCTATAGTAGCTACCAAATCTCTCCCTTCTCGTCCCCTTCTTTCTCAAACACACCTTTCCTCCTCCTCTTTGAGCCTCCCTCCTCTGTTGTCTTCCAGAGTTTTAGGTGTGCTCCTCCTTCTCCACCTTCCCTTCCCTTCCATTGTCTCTGCTCAGCAGAATCAGGGAACTCTTTCTGGACCCATCTTTCTTGGGGATGATTAGGGATAGAAGGTCATAAATAGTTTTGGTTTCCTTCCTCACATAATTCCTGACCTTCTTCTAGGAGTTCTCTTTCTTATTATTGCTGGAGAGACTCTTTCAAGATTCTTTTGTAGACAGTAGAAGAATTTCTACTGTCTCACTCCAGATCTAAGCCTGACAAATCCTAAAGCTACCTCTTTTCCATTCCTTTACCCATTTTTATTTCACTTACACTTTTTCATTTATGTTCCTGGTGTTATTTTTAGTAGGCTTATCTTCTCTTTGTTAGTCTCCTACCTATGGATAGGCTGCAGCTACCAAGGGGGCAGCATTCATTTCCTCCTGATCACCCAGTGCCTTGTCCTCCCCTGATTCCCTCTTTGGCTCACTGTCATTGTCCATACCTCCCTCCCTTTATTGTCTGTTGTTCTTATCTCTTCCTTAACCATATCTTTAATAACTTTCATTATTTGAAAAAAAATCATTTGGGGGATCTCAAATTTTTTCCAGGAGACCTCATGTAAGTCTCTGTAATGTGATGTTAAACTGTTGTATGTAGCATTGATTTCTGTGGTTTGGCAGTGATGGGGTTGGAGGGCAGAATACCCTCTCAACCATGGCACAATGTTTTGGGCTGGAGCATCATTTGTGGAGGGAGCTGTCCTATCCTGTGCACTGGAGGGTGTTTAGCGGCATCCCTGGCTTCTAGCCACTAAATGTTAGAGGTACCCTTTCAGTTGTGACAACCAAAAATGTTTCCAGACCTTGCCACATGTCCTCTGGAGGGCAGATTCCACCCCCTGCCCCACCTTCCACCCCTGCACTGAGAACTACTACTGTGCTATAAAGAATATCCACTTTCTGAAATTGATAGATGGTTATACTTTTTCTCTCCAACTGCTGATTTTTTGCTTAGCCTGGGTTTTCAAAAGTGTGGTCTTCCATAAGAGGGAGCCTCTTAAATTGCAGTTTCCTGAACTCATTCATCCTAGACTTATTGAATCAGGAATGTTGGAAGTAGAATTTGGAAATCTGATTTTTACAAGATACTATAAACCCCCCATCCCTGTCCCAAACCAGGTAATTCTTATGCCCTATGCTTGACCCTCCTGGTCAATAACTGCTGCATTACTAACATTTTTTCCCTGCAAGTCTTCCTAATACTCCAGCTTTGCTTCCGCTCTTGGTCCCATGATGCCAACACAAATAGGGAGGCCTCAGGTTACCAGGACAACCAGTGCACAGGAAACTGGAAAGGCTCAGCTCTCCCACCGGCGTGAGGCCATGCTGGCTCACTTTCTCCTTAGAGACTCAGTCATGCATCCTCCTCCCGATCCCCAGGCTACCCAGACTGGCAAGATACCCAGGCTCAAGCCACAGACCTGACTTTACAGACCTGGTAGTGGAATATAGAATGGGTGGGATGAGGAATGATTAATGAAACTTTCTTACATTGACATTCCATGTCACCTTGGTGATACTTGACTTTTGTACTGGCAAGAATTAGAATTCACCTGAGAGTTGGTGAGATTACAGGCTTCAGACTCAGGATGCTTCCATTTATTTATATTACTTATTTATACTTACTTCATTAGACCTTGAGCCTTGGATCCTTTTGGACCCCTGGCTAGATATTTTTTCACTATTTGCTTTAGGTCAAAAGATTTAGCAATATACTTTTGATACATTGGGAGTAGCTAATGTTTAGCAAGAAAAGAATAATTACCAAATAATGAACTTGGGTTTTGTTTACACTTCATTATAAAGCTAGTTATCTGGAAGATGTGACAATCATCAGGTTTGATTAAGTCTTTAAAGCCGCAAATAAGGAAAAATCTACTTTGAGATGTTTAGAAAGTATTGAATTGATCTGAAACCAC